GTTTTTCGATACCGATGTGACTCGTATTTGTTCAAAACCGATACCGAGGATGAATGTTTTCCTGTTATCAGATTATTACCAGGATGTTCGTAGGAAAATGCAATGTTGCGTAGCCTGTGACCTCATCGTTAAAAGGATATTGCGTGCTCGAATGTTTCATATCGGGTCTTCTTTCGGATTTTGGTCGTTCAGACTATCCTTTGAGAGTACTTATTGGCGTATTTTGGCTGTGTTTTGGCCATCACAGCTGTGCTGGCTGAATGTTATGTGGACCGTATAACCAGTCCGCTGCGTCAACTGCACAGTCTTTCAGAGTTTGTAGCTGGGGTTTACCTGAACATTCCGTGAGGTGTTGATTCTGAGATATGTCGTCAAACTATGGTCGTTGCTCCTTGGCGCTGTTGTAAATGGCGGTATAGGGGGAGGTGCATTGATGCCGTCAACTCACGGTGAAGGCAGCGCCAGCAGCAACCCTCCGAGAGCCATTGATCGGGGACAGACGGTAAGCGTCATTGATCTTGTAGGTAACTCTGGCGGTCGATCTCACTGAGATTGTGGTAGCTGTTGGTGCCGGTTGCTCGGCTCGGCTGGGGTGCTCACCACCAGCTGTGTCCAGGTACCGGCCACCGTGCTGGTACGTGGACAGACACAGCGACTGCTCAGCGCTCAGCGCTGGGGCGTAGCCAGCTACGGCGCTGGCATGTCCCAGCCACGGCGCTGGCTGTGCCCAGACAGCGCTGCAGCTGGCACGGTTTGGTCACTGCCACAGTGCAGACACGTCTCGGTCACGGCGCTGGTTGTGCCCAAACAGCGCCGCAGCTGGGCCGTCCCCGGTCACGCCAATCGCTGGTGAACGCCGCAGTATCGGGCTGTGATTACACCACAAATCGATCCCATCGATCCGACAGATGCGACGTTCAACTAATGAGGAAACATCGACCAGAGGATGTCGGGCTGAAAAGGACAACACTTGTCAACTGAGACCCCTAATTGGTCCAAATTTCAGGATTTATTTCAGACGGCTGAAGCACGTAATCCTGGCGGCACTGCAGTGCGGGTTTCCGTGCAGAAATGCTCGGTGTCCGCCGGCTGGCCGAGTGGCCTGGCGTCCGTCCCGCCCCCGTCCCTCCCCGTCTCATGGCCAGCGCGGCTGATTAAGGCCACAATCACGTGCCGTTCGCCCCCGCACTCGTCACGTGTCCGCTGACGACAGACGGCCAGGCTCCCCCGCGTCAGTCACGTGTCCACTGGCGACGGACGGATGGACGGCGCGGCGGCCGGCCGGACTGACCGCGCTGGCTCGGGCGCCAGCGGCTCTGAGATGGAACTGGGAAGCCACTCGATGGGCGCCGGACTGGCGATTGGACGGGACTGAGTCTTCTCTGAGACTGCACTGGGTCGTCCGTCCCGCTCCGACGCCGCCCGACTCCCGACCGCCTGACTCCCGACTCCCGACCGCCTGACTCCCGACGCCGCCCGACTCCCGACTCCCGACGCCGCGCAGTGGCCAGCTAATGGGCCGCGGCACGGCTTACGGACCAACTTCGGGGCGCTGATGTATGCCGAAAGTTGGCCGGCCTGGCGCCGTGGCCGGATGCTCTGCGGGTCGGGTACTGCGTGACCTGCCAGAGCGGGGAGGCCCGACTGCCGGTCTCTGGCGCCGACTCGGCACTTCTGCCGCCGAGAGGGCGACATCAATCGAGTCGGAAGGAAGTCGTTAGCGAACGCGAGCACGTTGATACCCTATGGTTCTCTGATCTTGGTGTGTGAACTGTGACTTTCTGCTCGTTTGTCATATGTCAGACGACTCCCTCGGACTCCCAGCAGACTCATCTATCTGTTGGTCTGATCGGTGTTCAAATGGCTCTTTCGAATGAATCTGTTTTTGGAGAGTCCCATACGGAGTATCTGTCGGCTGACGTCATCCCTCTTGGCAGTCTTCACGCTGTCTTATGATTCAACGTTATAACTTCCGCTGGAATAGTATCGCAAGTCGGGTTATAAGCAGCTATAATACGCCTATTGGCAGGTATCTTTATACAGTTCTTGTATGAACGGGCATGAACTAAAATGCGGAGGGGAACTTGCTGCAATAATGCCACCAAGCGTAAAAATACCGTGCGATCATAACCAACTGAACCCAGCAGTTGTTTAAACGTCGGAATCGATTTGTGAACTTCCGGCAAAGCGCGTGCAATAGCTTGGCTGTTTTGCTGTACCATAACAGTGATGTCAAGCGTTTACAGACATGTGTGACGCCAGCAAGCCAGTAGTCACTTTCTATAGTGTATCGCGCCTTGGGCCCTGTTTCACCGGTGATAGCAGCACGCCGATTTTACGACTTGTCAAATTGGGTTTCCATGGAGACATCAACAGGCCCATTGCTCCAACACTACCACAAGTGTGACGTCAGCTCGCGCAATTTGATAGCAGCGTGGTAGCAGCAGCCCGTGAAACACCGCCCTGGTCGCCAGTGTATTTATGCTGAACGGCAGCGCTCGTTATAAGCGCTGTGAGGGGTAGGCTGCGACATACGGTGACCGGCCACGAAGCGCCGGAGTGATGCTAATGCGACATCAAGGAACTTTCTAATGCTGGCAGTGGAACGACGCTTCTCTGCTGGAGTCAGCCCGGGACGCATTTCCAATCCTGACTGTGGGGATTTGGTCCGGCTTTGGAATCGGATGTCTCCCGTTTATCCTGGCTTTGGTCAGTGGAATGTTGGCTTATGGCTAATGGTAGAGCTGGAGACTTGCGTGAGGACTTAGTTATGTAACAGACAGTAATGAGGCTCGTTCCTCACTGGTACAATGGGGTGCTGGTGGTGCCCTATGGTTGGGCATGCGACCGTCCAGTGTCCATACATCTGTACCTACTGACCCACGACCGTCCCTACACCTGTGCTGGTGCACTGTGCCGGCACAATCACCCTCATCCATTGGTGCTGTATGGACGGGTCTGAGCGGCCGGCCGTGATCGAGTTGTCGCGTGGGGAAGGGTCGGGCCTCATCACGCATGTGGCTGCGCCTGCATAGCTGTACGATAGGACCGGCGACAGACGGTCTAGGTAGTCAAGGGATGGGTGAAAATGTTTTCTTGAGGAAAATGAAAAAATGCCATGATTGCGGTGGCGTGACCTGATAACTCCTGTGTCCGGACAGGTGATGTGTGCCCAGTACTGGCCGGTGGTTACTCTGATAATTGATATGTGCTCGGACAAGTGATGTCTGTCCAGTACTGGCCACGATAGTCTTGACCTGTATCCGTACAGGTGATGTGTATCCAGTACTGGCCGGTGTGATAACTCTGACCTGTGTCCGTACAGGTGATGTGTGTCCAGTACTGGCCGGTGTGATAACTCTGACCTCTGTCTGGACAGGTGATGTGTGTCCAGTACTGGCCGGTGTGATAACTCTGACCTGTGTCCGGACAGGTGATGTGTGTCCAGTACTGGCTGGTGTGATAATTCTGACCTGTGTCCGGACAGGTGATGTGTGTCCAGTACTGGCTGGTGTGATAACTCTGACCTGTGTCCGGACAGGTGATGTGTGTCCAGTACTGGCCAGTGTGATAACTCTGACCTCTGTCCGGACAGGTGATGTGTGTCCAGTACTGGCCGGTGTGATAACTCTGACCTCTGTCTGGACAGGTGATGTGTGTCCAGTACTGGCCGGTGTGATAACTCTGACCTGTGTCCGGACAGGTGATGTGTGTCCAGTACTGGCTGGTGTGATAACTCTGACCTGTGTCCGGACAGGTGATGTGTGTCCAGTACTGGCCGGTGTGATAACTCTGACCTCTGTCCGGACAGGTGATGTGTGTCCAGTACTGGCCGGTGTGATAACTCTGACCTGTGTCCGGACAGGTGATGTGTGTCCAGTACTGGCTGGTGTGATAATTCTGACCTGTGTCCGGACAGGTGATGTGTGTCCAGTACTGGCCGGTGTGATAACTCTGACCTCTGTCCGGACAGGTGATGTGTGTCCAGTACTGGCCGGTGTGATAACTCTGACCTGTGTCCGGACAGGTGATGTGTGTCCAGTACTGGCCGGTGTGATAACTCTGACCTCTGTCCGGACAGGTGATGTGTGTCCAGTACTGGCCGGTGTGATAACTCTGACCTCTGTCCGGACAGGTGATGTGTGTCCAGTACTGGCTGGTGTGATAACTCTGACCTGTGTCCGGACAGGTGATGTGTGTCCAGTACTGGCCAGTGTGATAACTCTGACCTCTGTCCGGACAGGTGATGTGTGTCCAGTACTGGCCGGTGTGATAACTCTGACCTCTGTCTGGACAGGTGATGTGTGTCCAGTACTGGCCGGTGTGATAACTCTGACCTGTGTCCGGACATGTGATGTGTGTCCAGTACTGGCTGGTGTGATAATTCTGACCTGTGTCCGGACAGGTGATGTGTGTCCAGTACTGGCCGGTGTGATAACTCTGACCTCTGTCCGGACAGGTGATGTGTGTCCAGTACTGGCCGGTGTGATAACTCTGACCTCTGTCCGGACAGGTGATGTGTGTCCAGTACTGGCCGGTGTGATAACTCTGACCTCTGTCCGGACAGGTGATGTGTGTCCAGTACTGGCCGGTGTGATAACTCTGACCTGTGTCCGGACAGGTGATGTGTGTCCAGTACTGGCTGGTGTGATAACTCTGACCTGTGTCCGGACAGGTGATGTGTGTCCAGTACTGGCCGGTGTGATAACTCTTGACCTCTGTCCGGACAGGTGATGTGTGTCCAGTACTGGCTGGTGTGATAACTCTGACCTGTGTCCGGACAGGTGATGTGTGTCCAGTACTGGCCGGTGTGATAACTCTGACCTCTGTCTGGACAGGTGATGTGTGTCCAGTACTGGCTGGTGTGATAACTCTGACCTGTGTCCGGACAGGTGATGTGTGTCCAGTACTGGCCGGTGTGATAACTCTGACCTCTGTCCGGACAGGTGATGTGTGTCCAGTACTGGCTGGTGTGATAACTCTGACCTCTGTCTGGACAGGTGATGTGTGTCCAGTACTGGCCCGTGCTGGTCGACCGGGAGGAGGAATTCGGCGACATCAGCGTCACACTGCTCAAGGAAGAGCAGCTCGCCAACTTTGTCATCCGCACCATCAAGCTCAAGAAAGACGGCGAGGTGGGTGCCGGTCTGTGCGCCGAGTTTCCTGAGGACTGTTGAAAGGTGCAGGCGTCAGTTTATAGTTTGGAGCCTGTGATTAAGACACACTGCGCACAGGCACGGCCTAGGGAATACCAGTAGGTAGGTATCGCCATCAGGTGTGCCGTTCGTGTAGAACTATTGCGCCCCAGACTGTTGTGTAGGCTCACGTGCCGTGTGGCGATACACACTCCTTGGCGCGGTGCTGTGCCGCTCGGGCGTGCCGGGCGATAGCCGTAATTTCCCTGGCGATATCGTGCCGGCGTATCGGCCGGGTAATTACTACGACTGGGCGGGCGCCGCGTGTCCTCCGTCTGACCTGCAGTTGTGTCGGCAGGAGCGGACTGTGCTGCAGTTCCACTACACCGAGTGGCCCTGTCACTCGTGCCCCTTCTCCAACGCCATCCTGGAGTTCCGCCGGCGCATCCGCATCTGTCTGCGCCACCGGTCGCCGGACCTGGACGGACCGATCGTGGTGCACTGCAGGTGGGTCGGGCGGGCCGCCGACTGATGACCTGTGACCCCTGGTGACCGGACCTGCCGGCGTATCGGGTGGTCCAGCGACTAGCGACCTCCGACACCCGGCAGCCTGCTCCTTTTGAACAGTGGACAGACTTACCGACTTCGCTAGCACGTGCTTGTATTGGTGACAAACAAACACAATGTGTCATATGTATCCTTACACAATTAACAGTGGCTCGAGGCCCGTAACAAAATTACATCGAGAACATGGCACGGTACAAGTGACAGGCAACCGGGAAAGTGTGACATTTGTTTCGCTCGATGTTTCAACGAGCCGTACTTCAAAAATGCACAAAATATCCACGTAAGTTGAGGATTTCAATTTTAATGTTTGTTTTAGCTAATTGATAGCGTCAGACTTCGTTTTGCGGAAACAGCCAATGGCCGCAAACCGTCCCATTTATCGTCCGCTTGATATGCTTGGTGGTGACTATGAAGTTGCTCCTAGCATGAAGGATGGCCACTGTCCAGCCTGCTTGTCTGAGGACTGCTCACTCGCTCGTAAAATATTGACAAATTGCTGCGAGTTCATCCGGCGCCGGCAGTGGCCTCCTATCTGCAGACACCCCTGCGTCCCATGGCGAGGCACTCGTTCGTGTTCCGCTGGCGAATTCTCCTCGAACATCTGCCGGACTGGCAGTCAGAGTTGGTAGCGCAGCACACACCGTTCGGGATTCCCTGCATACACGTGTTTTCGATGCAGAAGTTTGCGTTGTTGGGCGGTCCGCGGCAGTGCCTGTCGGCCTTGCACTGGACGCAGTCGCCCGTCCGTGTGTCGCACTGGCCGGTGGTGCACTGGCTGTCCCTCGTGCACTTGCCGCCGGCTGCGCGCTTCTCCTGACAGCGGCCGGCGTTGGTGCAGTACCGGTTGCCGCCGCAGTCCCTGTCCCGGTCACATTCGACGCACGTCTTGTCGCGGCAGAGATCTGTGTCGCAGTCGGAGTTTTGACTGCAGGACTCGCCGAACTTGTAGCGCGGCCGGCAGACGCCCCAGCTGCAGCGCTCGCCACTGCGGCACTGCTGGTTGGTGCGGCACTCGACGCAGTAGCCGAGCTTGCCGCACGCCCTGCTCAGGCAGTGGTCGTTGTTCTCGCACTTTTCGTGCAGCTGGCGCAGCGGGTCGCAGGAGCCGGACGGCGAGCAGTACTCGCCGGCCGCGCAGTCGGCGCGCGTCAGGCAGACCACGCAGCGGCCCTTGTCGCCGCACTTGCCCGTGTGGCAGTCGCGGTCTCGGCGGCACGCCATGCCGTGCGGCTGCCGGCTGCGGCAGCTGTGCTCGTAGCAGTACTGGTCCTCGCTGCACTGGTCGTTGCTCAGACAGTCGGCGCACACGCCGCGCGGTCCGCACAGGCCCGACCAGCACTGGCTGTGCTCGTCGCACGGCTTCTGGATGGCCAGCTTGCTGGTGCAGACACCGGCGCGGCAGTAGCTGCCGCTGCCGCAGTCCTCGCTGTGCGCGCACTCGGCGCACGTGCCGTGCCAGCAGACGCGCGACTTGCAGTGCAGGCTGACCCAGCACTCGCCGCCGTTCTCGGCCGGCGCCTTGCACTGGCCGTGCAGGCAGAGCTCGCCGCCGGCGCACGGCCGGTACTGCGAGCACTGGGCGCAGTAGCCGCGCACGCAGCTGCCCGAGCCGCAGCTGCCGCCCGAGTGGCACGGCTCGCCGGCGTCCAGCAGCGGCCGGCACTGGCCGCTGACGCAGTGGTGGTCGCCGCCGCACTGAGCGCTGCTCAGACACAGACCGGCCGAGTACCCCGGCCGGCACTGATGCTGCAAACAGCTGAACGAGTGGGGACAGTCGCTGTCGGCGAGGCAGGCCACGCACCGACCGGCCACGCACCGTCCGCCGCCCGCGCACGGCCGGTAGCTGTCACACTCGGTCGCCGGCGGCGGCGGGAGGGCCACACAGCCGGCACCCTGTCGGCAAACACACGGCGTCACCGCTTAGCGCCGCGGCGGGTGCAGGCAGGCTACACGGTTTAGGGGTCTGTTTGCTGGTATCTAGTGCCTTTTAACCTTTTCAGGCTGCGTTTATGTGACAAAACGTAGGTGAAGCGATTCAAGTAAAGTTCAGCTAGGATTCATAATTTCTCACACCAGGCACCGATTAGCTGTCTTTTCCCTATGTAACGGCCTGCGAGAGTTTAAATGGGCTCAGCCCGGGGTGGCGTGTCGTTACTCATGGAGCCTAGGTTAGACCATGTCGCTATTCTGTGGCCCACGTTAGATCCTGTCGCTCCTCACGCAGCTTATGTTGATCCCTGTCGCTACTCACATGGCAGGGTGCTGGCTTTGGGTGCAGTCGGATGGTCACCCCGCGTCCCCCGAAGCCGCTGATCGCGTCCTTTAGCAGTCGGAGCCGCGGCTGTCGGTTCTCTCCCTCGGCGCTGTCGGACGATGAGTCCTTGTCGGCCGCCGCTGCCGCCGACACCTGGGACAGACCACGGAAACGAGTAACACGCCGCGTCGGGAACAGCGATACACTCACCACAGCTGGGGAGAACGGAGTGTGCTACCCAGCTCGGGACACGGGCATGATAAGAGCCTCCGCAAAACTACTTTCGTTTGTTCACTGATCACAGAAACCCACATGCACAGCTGATGTATTTCGAAAGGAAATATTTGGTATGGAAAGTCTGGTTCGTTTAATGTGTTTGCTTTAACCTTTATTTACTTGCTCAACATAAACGTAAACTTTGTCGCGAAGTCGAGGCGAAAACCACATCTGAAGTTGCGTATAAAATGTCAGCTCGTTGGTCGGTTCACCGCTGAGTGTTGCAGCTCGGAGCGGTCGGACACTCACCAGAAGCAGGGCGAGTAGATGCAGGCGCGCCATGGCGGAGGGCGAGCCGGTGACCCGGTCCCAGTGGCAGTGCTGCCGGCCACTGTGTGCGGCGTCATATATAGGCTGCAGGCACCCAGTGTGACCTGCCGGGGCGGCCCGAGAGCCCGCCGAGCGGCTGGCTGGCCGCGCCAGTCGGACCGGCTCGGAGCCCGTTCCCGGCCGGCCGGTCCGACAATCCGCCCTGGGAATCCTCTGTCCCTGCCTCACACCTCGGCCCCGTACTCACAAGAGTGCCGCGAGAGCTCGCTACGGACGGGGTGTCGCACAAGATCTGAGCCATGCGAATAGTGAAAAAGGAAATGGACTGGCGACTGGGGTGCTAGCATCGAGCTGACTGAAGACACCAAAATGTTCGAACCGAAGATTGCCACCAAATATTCATATCTTCGGTCCGAATATTTTGGTGTGGTAGTGCCGACATTATTTCAGTTGAAATCGTTCCTTTGTTTCCTATTATGTAGGGAGGTACTGGTGTTCAATAAGAGTGTGTCTTGCTGACTCGGGGATTGGTGTAGTGCGTAGGCGGTCTCGGTAATGCGTGGTTGAAATACAGTTTCAAGCTTTTTAAGTGCTCCATATTTCCGACTTTTAGTCTCAGATTGATACGATGTGTCTGTGTCACTCTTTCACTGCTCACACTCAGACCATAAGGCTCCCGCGAACCGAGTTTAGTTGATAAAGTCTTGAGTTGGCAAAGTCATTCATCCGCCTGTCTCCAGGAAAACATGCATTGCGTAAATGTGTCACCCAGGCTTATTCATTTTATGCTTGATGAAACACAAGAAACTGAGGATAAGATGTCAAAAGATCTCAAAATTTCCAGAGTGGATCCCATTGCGTCGGCGAAATCTCCACAGGTTCAAAAGCATCCCGGGTGAGGCTTTAAAGCTTCTTGGATTTCAGCAAATCGCTTGCGTTTGACAACGGTGGTCAAGAGGGGCCTCTTATTCTTGGGAGACCTCTTGAAACCGTATGCTTAAACCAAGATTTCCCCTCGTTACACAACCAGCTTATGTTGCATGTCCGGTGGGCATTAACCGACGATTATCCCTGCGCGTGGTTTTGCCATTTATTTATTATAATAGGCATACTTATTTATTTAGGTAGGGTAGCCTGGGGCAAGACGCCCCAGATAATTTATTTTGCTACATAACTTTTGTCCCACATCACCTGGAAGGCCAAATTTGTGCTCAATGCGTTCTTTGGACATTTTACTTTAAATTCCACCCCTCAAATTCATTCACTTATGATCGGACTCCCAGCTAGGAAGTGATTTGTGAAGCAACTGCAAATGGGGCATTTTGCCCCAACCCCAGGGCAAAACGCCCCACGGCCTGGGGCAAGACGCCCCATACTCTAGATTAAAGATTGAACATGCTAGTTGACTAAATCTTATATGAGAGGCCCGTTAGACCTTGGGAGGCACGGCACTGAAGTTTTTTTTTTCTACGCCGCCACCCATTAATAGGTGACCAGGAGTGCCCCCACCCTCGAACCCAGCGACACACAGTACCCTTACGTTAACACCAGAGAAAAACAAAAAAAAAGCAATGTCGCGGCACTCCCAGCTAAGAAATGGAAAAGAAATAAAAAGAAGACAAGAAGGGAGCGAGGATGTAGGCATGGTATAATCATAAGATAGAAAGTAGTCAATGTGCTCATAAGTCATTGACTGACCCCCCACTACAATCCCCAATAAAAAAGGTTAAAGTGATCATGGGAGACCCAGCCATGCAGAGAATTTTAACATTTATACAATTTTCTGAGTAATATGCAAAATAATATATGCATACATTATCTGGTCATTTTAGCAGTTTGCTTTTGCTGGAGCCAAGTGAGACCCCGCAGCTAAGCAAAGCTTGTTGCCGCTCGGTCTCACCGGTTCCAGCGATGGTTATTGGGTGATATTTGATACCACAATAATACACGGTAGGACGTCAATACAAAACACTTACATGTAACACAGCGATGTAAACAAACAGCATACATCAAACGTACATTCGTAATGCAATAACAGATGTAAATAACATACATCAACATACATCAAGTTAGCACCTTCCATCCTGTCAGGTGTTCAGCTATGACACTATTGTATGTACAGGTTTTTCACCTGCCTCATAAGGCCAAATAATAAATTATTGCAATGCAAATGTTAACAAAATACTTCCTTTGTCATTAATTTGCTAAGAAAGGTACATAAAATTGCATAGAAACTTACTGTTCGCCAGCAACCGAACATTAGGAAGTGGGTAGTCGGAACAACACATGAGGTAAAACGCCCCATGGGGCTTTTTGCCCCGCGACCTACTGGGGCGTTTTACCCCATCACGTATTTTGGTCAGAGAACAACGCCTTGCACTCCAGCAAGGCATCATTTAAAACGGACCAACCCAGCATTATAAGCGTTAGACAATAGTTGTTCAAAATACATAAAAGTCGTTAACCTGATGTGAACCATAAAAGAACGCCATGATGCATAATCTGACTACAAAACATAAAAATCACTCCAAAAACAAATTTTTGGCTATATCTCCCTAAAGAGTTATCACAATATCTTTCCAGTCTGCTCATATAATGATCATATAGTGCACGTTTTAAAGAAGAGAGAATGTTTCCCCAGAACCTTGCCAGTTCCGAGAAACATCGGTGAGGCGTTTTACCTCGGCGGGGCGACTTGCCCCGGTCTACCCTATCTATATCATAGGTCCGATAAGTCAAATAACTAGGCGTTGATGTCTGTTTTAAAAATTATAATAAGGTTATCATGAAGATAAGACAGGTTACCGAGCTGCTAGCAATAGCTACTTAAGTCGCATACCGTCTTGAAGATTTAATGACCATTTACCCAAGTACTGGCGAGTGGCGATCTTAGCCGGGTTCCAGCGCGTTATTACGTTAGGTATTTGAGCTAGTGCGTACGTTGGCTTGTTAGACGTCGCAAGGAGTTTTGAGCTAAAAACTAGCCACCTGAAACCATGCTGGCTGCCGAAATAAGTTGCGGAAAACATGGTTGACCCGGATGACTGGCTTAGCGCTAGCGAAGCAGCTTGGCGAAGTAAAGCCAGTGAACCGCCGAGCGGCTGCTTTGTACTCTGAATAAGGGAGCGCGCGCGGGGTGTGCGCCTACTTTCGCTGTGCTCAGTAAGTGGGCTAAGCGGTTCATGTGAAAGTTCGCCGTGTCTGTTATTATAATCCTATCGCCACAAGCTGGATGGATAATCCAGTCATCCACCGTATGATCCTTGGACGTGCCGGAATGTGCTGGGTGGTAAAATACTTCCAAGCGGTTCCATGTCTCAGATCGGTTAGAGGGTAACGATCATAAACGGCTGTCCCACTGAGCCATGGTTTGGCTTCTGTTTGCTATGGAATCAGCACAAAAAATATCGAGCATTGTTCGAAATCGACCAAAATCACTAACTAATAAGTATTTTTTAGTGGGAGGTCAAAATGAAACATGCGTGGTGGGCAATCGTTGGCTCATGAGGAACTGGAAGCTGCATCATCCGTAGAATGGACGTATGACATCCAGAGGCATACAGAGGACTTGCACGTAGGAGCGTGTGATCACCAGCTAGGCATATTACAACAGCATCGTTTGTTTCAGGGGGGGGGGGACAATCGCTGTCGTAATTGCGGGTTAATGCCTGGCTTAATTTCAAACACTGTACATTTGTACAACGCATCGCTATCTCAGCTAGTATCTGACAACGTGGTCTGACACTAAGTCTGATACTTACTACACTAACATTGCTTGTGATCCCATATTTACCTTCAGGCGATCCTTTGTGTTCGGCTTCCTCAGTGCTCGCCTACATATGTCACATCAGATCAGTCGGCAACCGGCTTTTGTAAAATTGATCCAGACGAGTGATAATCGTACATTGCCACCTTGTTGAACAAGTATCAGGTGAGATCGCCATGTTCGGCGGTCCCAAACTGCGTTCAGCAGACACATGAGAGATGGCGAAAGCTGCCGGCGTCAATAACAGTGATTTTACTCAGCTCTCGGTCACGTGAGCTGTCGGCTCTGAGTCTGATGCTTTCACGGATGACGGGAAGCGGCGCGTCGATTGCACGGTTCACATCTCATACCGCTCCTCACTGTCACTGGCGGCTGTGTCGGCGCCTCTGTTTGACCACGAAGTAGGCCAAAGGTGCAGTTTCCATTCCGGTTAATAGGTGAAGTTACGCAACATCTGGCAGCCATGGCTTGTTAGAAACTGTTGATTGGTGTGTGCAGCTGGTAATCTCGTTTCACACCCATGTTCACTGATCTGACGGTGTGTGTGTGAAGTCGGTGACCGTGCGTGGCCCGTCTCTGCCGCCAGTGACGGCGCCGGCCGGTCGGGCGTCTTCCTGGCCATCGACGCCAACATCGAGCTGGCAGAGGAGGACGGCGTGTTCGACGTCTACGGCTACCTGAAGAAGATGCGCCAGTCGCGCCGCGGGCTCATCGAGACCATCGTGAGTGGGCGGCGGGTCGGGCGGCGACGCTGGCCGAGGTTGGCCGGCGGTGGAGGCACCGTGTCTACCGGACTGTCGGAACCGGGCAGGAGAGAGTTGGGAGCCCGGATGAGCGGACGGGATATTCGTTCAGGCTAGGCTAGGTTACGGTACAGTGTCTTTTTCTGGGTGTCGAGAGTGCTGGTGTACCAGAATAAACACAGATGTGTTTCTTAAAACAATTAAAGAGTGTGCGTGTCAGTTATGTCATCGTAATCGAAGCTTTGATAACCCATATGACACTTGTCAACTTCAAGTTTGTGTCTGTTATGCGTTCACTTCGGACCAGCTTCCAAATTCGTTTTCTTCAGTGTCCCGGGGTACAATACAATACAAGTTCGTGCCTCAGGCCCAGTAAAAGTCCGTGTCCCTCTATGCCCCAGGACCAGTTCGTGTTCCTCTGCGCCGCGGGACCAGTACAATGTCGTGTTCCTCTATGCCGCAGGACCAGTAAAAGTTCGTGTCCCTCCGTGTTTCAGGACCAGTACAAGTTTGTGTACGACACGCTGGAGGAGTTTGTCACCTGCGGCTACTCGTCGTTCCCCGTCTCGGAGCTGTCACAGCGACTGAAAGAGAAGGCCGTCAAGGGCCCCGACAAGCTCAACGACTACCAGCGCGAGTTCAACCAGATCTGCCGCCAGGTGCCCAAGTTCACCATCGGCGACTGCGCCGGCGGCCACCGCGCCGACAACCGCCACAAGAACCGGGACGTCATGATCGTGCCGCGTGAGTGCCATCCCGCCCCCGCCCCCGCCCCCGCCCCTGCCCCGGGCTGTCAGCGGGCGGCCGGCGCAGACGGAGCGGCGGCCCTGACACAGAGACCCAGTGCCGACGGCGCGGTCCCGGCCGGACCGCCCAGACGACCTGACGCGGACGGGGAGGGGACGCCGACGAGCGTCCGTCCGAGACTGTCACCCGTCTCACATACCGCCCGGGCCGCGTCCGAGTGGATATTGTTTCTCTGAGCTTGGCAAAGGTCCAACTGAAATCGGTCCAGTAAATTATGTAAGCATATTGCTGCGAGTCGGATTAGGAATATATTACGGTTATGATACTGTATTTGTACTCATTAACCCTATTCCTGGCGGGCTCCGCCGGGACAAGAAACTGGCGGGGGGGGGCCGATTCGGCCCCCCCCTGAGATCTCGAGAACGAAGCAAGATAGCGACAAGCGGTAAACGGCATCGGATACGCACGGCCAAGATCTACAATTTTTACTAAGGTCATTTTCAGGTCAGGTCAAAGATGACGTCACAGGGGTCGAAAAAGTCAAAATGGCGGCGCTAGATATGGAGAGAGTTTTTCTCGAATAACTTTCGAATTAGTCAAGATAGGAACAAACTAAGGGCATCATCGTGATCCTCTCGTCAATCCGCATCGAATGATATATATGTTGACCTCGAAAGGTCAAGGTCAAAGGTTGACCTCAGGTCACGTGACCTCGAGGTCATCATGTATATCATTCGATGCGTCTTGACGAGCTGAACACAATGAGACCATCCACGCGTCTGTATCTTGTTCCTGTACGGAGTTATTGGCCAAAAACCTTTGGTGACCTTTGATGACGTCACATGACCTCACAGCTGCCCAACAGCAAAACAGACCTCAAGGTAGTGAAGGTTGATCGTATATGAAGTCATGTATGGTATATGGGGCCATTCCGACCCGTTTTAGTGGTAAAAGCAGGGAGTTGATTTTTCCCCCATTGACTTATAATGGGGAGGTCGCGAAATTGACCTGACCTTAGGTCACCGATATCAAAATTCCGAGATATACAAATTGCACATACTGGTACCCTAACTAAGCCCTGAAGAGAAGAAATTGATCGGTCAAAAACTCTAGCTCTGGCGTGATTGCAAACTTTTCTGAGGTAGGGTCACCAAACCGCCTCTGGTGACCTGACCTGAGGTCAGATCAACTCAAAATTTTCAGACATGTTGCGTAGAAGCCTTTTAGGAAAAGTCAGAAAATTTGAGCTTCCTAGCTCAACGCGTTTGGGAGAAATAACCAAAAAACCTCAGGGGGGGGCTCCTGAGGCCCCCCCCCCCCGCCAGGAATAGGGTTAAGCCCTTTTCTGTGATCCACGATGTGTTGTAGGATATGTGCGTCTGGTGTGGTGCCACGCCCTTCTTTGTTACACTTGCATGTAAGCGACTCTGTACCACATGAGCGTGGTGACAAAGTCGCGGCGCTCCGGTCCTGCCCGGTCCTTATTGGCGCTCCGGCCCCTGTCCCTGTTATCTGTGAGGCCACGCCCCTATCGCTTTCATCGGTGAGGCCACGCCCATATCTCTTTTGACTGTAAGGTCGCGACCCTGTTGGCTGTGAAGTTCCGCCCCGGCCCCTGCTAGCTGTGAGACCACGCCCCGGCCCGCTGTGCCGCCTGGGGTGACGGTCTGCCGGCCGGGCGGCGCGCGGCCTCTGGATGCCGCCGGCCGGGTGTGACCGAGCTTTGTGTCGGGTGCCAAGCCCGCTGGACGGCGGCGTCGGACCCCGACTGACCCGCCCTCGCCCGGCCCCGTGTTGCAGCCGACAACTTCAGGCCGTACCTGACCTCATTCCAAGGCACCAGCGCCACCGACTACATCAACGCCGTGTTTGTCGACGTAAGTCCTCGGCCGCCGGCCAGCTGCCGGCGCTCGGCGGGGTGTACTGTAGGCAGTGTCCCGACACCCACCGCTGACGTGACGCGAGTTCTGGGAAGGGGAAGGGAAATGGGATGATCTGCTGGTGTCAGAAGCTCTTCACGGGATTCTGGCGTAACTGTAAAACCCCGCCGTTGCACCAAGTGGCAGACTGGTTCCGTGGACGGTATTTGTAACCACTTGCCTCACGACTCGTGAGGCAATGGGACTTAACATGGCATTCAGATAAAGAAAGCTGACAACCAAACACCAGGGCAGACTTGTCGGTTAGCGGGGTGATCGGAGTTGCCAGCAGAGTACCCTAGTGAAATGTTTCGAGACTTGGGTGCCAATGCTGGAAATAGGAAGGGTTCTGGGGTTGAAGGGACTGCCGCTTCTGAGATCAATAATGGGTGTCCCTTGAGGTTTGGATGAGTCTGTCCCTTCAGCGTTCTCAGAGCGATAGGCCATCTCTAGATACAGAGCGGAGGGCTGCCCCGTCAGGGATCAGTGATGGGTGTCCTTTCTGGTTACGGAGGACCGGCTCGTGATGGGTGCCCTCTCGGGATCCTGGGGGGGGGGGACTGGCCCGTCAGAGGTCGGAGTGATGGCGCCCTCTCCGGGTAGGGCGGGGCGTCCACCGCAGTCGGGACAGCTCCGTCTCGGGACGCCTCACGCCGGTATGCGCGGCCCACGCCCGGAATGCGGCGCGCCCGTTAATTTGTCAGGCTCGGTTTCACGGCCGGGGCTGCGGCCGCGGCCGGCGTCCCTCGGGGGCAGCCCGGGACCCCCCCCCCCCGGACCGGACCACGGACCACCGGCCGGAGCTGGCTTTCCGCGACCCGCTAAATAGTTGGCAGCGCGTCCGGCCGAGTATTTCTGTCGGCGCCACCGCGGCGTGCCGTCCGCTGAATGACATGCCGCCGCTGATATGACGCCACACGCGACTCAAATAGCCGCGCCCGCTGCCCCCGAGCAATATAGCATTGTTTGTGTGGCTTTTTGACGTCTGACCTAACTTTTCAAACCTTAAAATCATCGCGTGTTTAAAGTGGCCGTAATGGCATTGGATGTTCTCGTCTGTTTCGGTCTCGTATTGACTCTTTCAATGGCATCACAGCTGAACTCCACCAATGAAGTTGGTGCATAATGCATATCACGCTTCTTATTTGCTGCCCTCACTGCCGGTTGGTTTAAACCTGTGCATTGCCATTTATCACCTTGCCCGTGTGACTAATTGCGTTTTGGACCTCAGTTGTCACCATGGACGTAGCACTCACTGCTTTACGTTTAGATAGCACCACGTATAACGTGCCGCCGTCTATCCACAAACCGTTGTCCGTTGTCGACCATTTCCCTCTAATCATCTAACTGGGTGCGCCGCTCAACTGTGTTGCTCCCGCGGCGCTTCACGCCGTGCCCAGTGTGATCTGTGGAGGACTCAGAGGCCAGTGAGACCGCCCTGCTGACCGGTCAGTGTCCGTCCGCCCCCGCCCCCGCCCCCGCCCCGCCCGGCGCCGTCCCGTGCCCCTCCAGGAGTACAACCGAGCGCGCGAGTACATCGTCACCGAGTGGCCGCTGCGCTCGACCCAGAGCGACTTCTGGAGCCTGGTGTACGACCACGACTGCAACTCGATCGTGGTGCTCACCAGTCCTGGCGACAGTTCGGTGAGTGGCCGGCCGGCCGGCGCCGCCCGACCGGCGCGCGTCTGTGTGTGTGCGTGTGTGTGTGACGGGTGGCGCCGCCGTTACAGGGCTGCACCCACCCGCGCGAGTACATCGTCACCGAGTGGCCGCTGGCGCACACGGTGCCCGACCTGTGGTCGATGGTGTACGACCACGACTGCAGCGCCGTCGTGGTGCTCTGTAATCCGGAGACGTCGCCGGTCAGTCGGGTCTCGCAGCCGCCGCCGCAGCCCCGCCGCAGCAGCAGCAGTTTTTGTGCTGTGTGATCCACGTCACCCTGTATTAGTCACCGCAGGCCGCCGGAGGCCTACTTAACGCCACCAGTTTTACCCCGTCGCCGCCAGATCAGACGTGTGCCAAACTGATTTAAAGGTCGTCACCTGACAGCCGTCATGTTTGTTCGCCAACTGATCGCGGGTTTTCTCGACAGCAGTTTATAATCAACTGTATGTGATTGGCCTCTGGTGACTAGCCTTTTGTAATGTCAGTTTGGCACGTGTCTGGTGACCACTCCCGCTGTCCATACGTGCCTCCGCGCCCGGTCGGCGGCGCGTCAGAGGCGTCCCCACCGGCACCTGGCTGCGTCGCTCCCACCACCGGCTGGTTGCCATAACAACGCTGCGCTGCCAACTTAGTTTTTGCATTTGTTATTTTTGTGCCTGTTGCTTTCATTCACTGTGATAGTCGCCATTTTGTGCTTGATGCAGCGTGTTGACAATTCACGCACATGAAGACTCCTGTGCTTGAGTTGTGAATACGCTGTCTCTGACGTGTCTTGTAAATTACAAAATATATTGTATAGTGTGTATTATAGTATATTATATACGTAAAGACGCCCATGTTTATCTGTTTTGCGTTGTTATCGCTGCAGTATTCAGTGCAGGTCACGCTTCAATGATGAAACTGCACACGTTCTGACTGCTTGTACGAAGTATTAGCTGCGAGTGCCGACTGTTGTGCCGCTGAATGGTCGGCGGGCGGGGGACCTGCCTCCCGTCGGAGCGGGTTTCAATTTGTGTTGGCGGTACCCCCGGTCGAGGACCCGGCCGCCCCCGCGTTGGCCCGCCGGCCGCCGGTGTCGTCACTCCGTGCCACTGATACCTGCTGGTGGTGCCCGTGCGTGTCGACCGCCGCCAGCGCCCGCTGGCACCTACATACTATAGTGATCAACAACTGAGTGTGTTGAATTCGTCATCTTACCTTTGGTGATGGCTTATTCAGATCTCAAACATCCTAGTTTATCATTGAACTACCTATGGCCGTTTCACAGCCAATTTAGTCGTTAGTTGATGAGCATCTGAAACCGGCTGAGATGAATTCAGTTTTCTGAAGAATATTCACTAGACGACATATTTTGCAAGTTATTGACAGATTGAAAAAAATGTGATGCCGCCAGTCGATGTACAATGCATTCATGTAACATCGTTGCAATTTGAGCTAATGTGAAATATGCAATTTCTGATTTTGCTTCGGTACTGCTGCTCATTCGAGCAAGGCCATTTCGTTATATGGGTTCTCTTCGATCGTTAATCGCGCAATTTCTCTAGTGTCACCGACTTCAAACCCACACTGTTGCCTGGATCGCTATGGCGGCGATACCCTCCACTCTGCCGTGCAAAGGCAAAAAGTGCTACATGAGGCAGCTTTTGCCTTTGCACGCAGCACTTGTCACCATCGCCGCATGCCCTTGTATTCATTTGACTACGCCGCTCCAACCAGTCGTCAGTGATCACCCCGGCTGCTGAGTTCTTTTTACGCGCCTGTACATAGTTTGTGTAGCACTCATTCACTATTAGAGGACGCATTTACACGTGTGTTAACGCGATATTCACCGTAGAATCGTGTTGGCTGGATACCCTGTAATAGCAGTCATTGCTCTCGTCGATCGTTTATTGTGTGCCATGTTATCAATGAGTGTATGTTCGGATAATGCTGACATACCGCACCGCGCCCCTCCCTGTGTACGTCACTGGCCGCCCGTACCGCAGTGCGGCGCCAGTCTGTTCTGTATCAGTACGGACGGTGGATGTCCCAGGTCCACTGCGATCACTATCAGAGCTCAGAGCCGGTCAGACTCACACAGAATCTGGTCACTCTTCCTTGGTTCACCAGTGTAACTGTGTTGTTTGAGATTTTTTGAGGTCCCGGTGTTTGAGATATCCTGGCCACCACCGCCACCCTGCCGCCCCGGCTGGGAACTCACCCTGTCCCGCCGCGTTACAGAGCTTCCCCCACTTCTGGCCGGAGAGCACGCGCTCCAAAAAGTACGGCGCTGTGTTCACAGTGGAGCACATATCGCACCAGCACTACCAGAACATCAAGTCCTGGATCTTCAAAATCAACAAAAAGGTAGACGTCCACCCACTCATAAAACTGCATGGCTCCGATGTGTTTGTTGCATTCTTAATACGTTTGGTGTTACCATTAGTTTTATTATTTGTTTATTTTGAGTTGTTAATGCGCGTGTTTTTATTTTATTCCATTTTTGCTCTCCTTTATTTGCTGTGCTCGCACTGGAGCGCCATGAGCCTCCAGCCGTCTGTGTGTCGTGTGTCAGTCGTTCTCCGCATGAGCCGGCGCTGCGGTGGGCTCCGCCGTGTGTACTCACCTCCCGACCGTCGCTATAGGAGATCGCGCCCTACCGTAAGACCATCTCCACCAACGTGGATCCGCAGCAGGGATCACAGGTGAGGCGAGGATGGGGAGGGGAGGGAGGGATGGCAGCGGGCCCCGCCTCTCCCTCTGGGGCAGGAGAGGGGGGGGGGGGGGGGAGTCCGACAAACGGTGTCAGTGGAAACTGCCCTGCATAGTTACTTAATCAAAATACTGTGCTTACATGCTTGCTGATGTACATGATGTTCTACTGACGATGCAAGCTTATTTTGATGTAGCTGTTGGTGATTATATGATATGTTGTAGATATGATATGCATAGATTTGATATGATATAGGTATATTATATGCATGTATATTTGATATAGATATATGATATAGATGTATGATACGAATTTGGTTGATATTGCTCGTTCCTAGTGTTTCTCTTGACCGGCTAACTGACACCTATGACACCTACCTTTGTTACTAGGCCGAATTACATTAGCCCAGCTCGATGGATTCACGCTACTTCGCAAGTCCATCTCCCATCACGCCGTTTGTGGCACCGTATGTGACGCCGCCCCTCCGTCCGTTCCCCCAGATCGTCTCGCTGACGGAGCTGATGGCCGGTGTCAAGGCTGAGGTGAAGACGTGCCAGCTGTTCCAGCTGACCTGCTGGCCGGCCGGCTACAAGGTGCCCACCTCCACCAACGCGCTCGTCGAGCTCATGAACATGGTGGAGCGGTGGCGGCAGCGCTCCGGCTACGGGCCCGTCGTCGTTGTGTCGCCGTGAGTGCTGTGGATAGCCCGGTCCGCCGGGGCTCGGGGCGTCCGTCCGGTACCGTGTCCGCGCAGTGTCCTGCCGATAGGTGACAGCACTGGTGGACACGCCGCCGGGTTGTTGGCTTATGTTGCACTGTGCCGAAAAGACGATCCACGGAATGTTTGAGGTTCAGACGGAATGATGGATGACATCGGGCTGAGGCGGTCATCAGTTGGTGCGCCGCCCGTGGCTCTGCTGTCCCTGGGGACGGGTGCAGGGATATGACACCGAGTCGAATAGCAACCGCGCCATGAAAAGTTTACTCCAGTGGAGGTCCTCCGTCTCAAACTCATCTTCTGTTGGCCGTCAGGCCCGGAGCACGTGAGAAAATGATTGATGAAGGGCCGGGAGGGTCCCGGGGATAGAAAAGACGAATGATCGCTGGCCTCTCCCGCGTGCCTTGGTGATGTGGTGATTAATGATAAAGGCGGGCCTTGGAGAGCTTGCTGATTTGACTAGGGTGGAGTCACAAACGTGCCAGATGAACCGATGGTGCTGGGTTTGAGCCGAAGGAGCGCACATTGTCCCGGGCACAGAGCGGGGGCGACTTTCAGTCATAGACAGCGATCATCGTTTCAGGGTCGGACAGCCATAGCAGCTCCCGAGGTCGACCTGTTGAGCGGGTGTATACTGCTCAGTGCTCAGTCACATTTCCCTCTGACCTCTGTCCCACTGACCCGCACCCCTCCTCCCGCAGTGACGGCCAGTGCCCATTGGGCGGGCTGCACTGCCCGTTTACATTTCCCACTGTCCCACTGACCCGCAACCCTCCCTCCCGCAGTGACGGCCAGTGCCGTGCGGGCGTGTACCGCCCAGTGCTCAGTGGCATATCCTCCCTCTGTCCCACTGACCCGCACTCCTCCCTCCCTGCAGTGACGGCCAGTGCCGTGCGGGCGTGTACTGCGCGGCCAACGCGTGCATCGAGCAGGTGATCCAGCACGGCGAGGTGGACGTGTTCCAGGCGGTCAAGACGGTCCGCCGCCACCGGCCGCAGCTCATCTCAAACATGGTCAGTGCCGCCGGGGTGGGCCAACCAGGGCTATTGTAAAATACTTATGTCAGCATTCTCCAGAACAAAGCAAATGCATCCAAGCTATCAGTTTAAATGCAGCTTGCTTTCTGTGGTTCCTATGCTCCCGGTGCGTTTCATTATTGTCATTGATGCTGTCGCTGTGCCGATTGGGTGCGAACGCTGCTGCTGGTGTGCGCTCGTGTTGATAGGCGTTGACAGCGAGGGCATCTTCAGGCTCTTTTCAGTGGTATGTTGTGGTACTCAGTATTTGGATGCATATCCGCTAGTCATTCTCGACGTTAAGCATCAGTATAAGTCAAGGTTGTGCGACTCAGGCGCGTTTCTGTCCATTTTTCAGACCGAGTACAAGTACTGTTACGACTTGGTGTTACACTACGTGCTGCACTACCTGAACCAGGAGGCGAGCGGCCACTGAGCGCGGTCGGTCCGTGTGACGGTCGGTCAGGCCGGGCGGGGCCGGTGTGTGACTGTGGTCTGTGGCCGCGGCATCCAGTGAGCACAACTGCGCCGGCCGGTGGCTGATCGGACTGTGATTGTGCCGTGTGACGGCCGCCGTCGTCGGACGCCCGCGGGCAGCGGGGACGTCCTCCGGCGCAGTCGGCCCGCCGAGTGAGAGAGACAAACAGCACGCGGCCGGCAGGTCCCGGCGCGAAATAACCGGCTTCGTAGTGGGCAGACGGGCGTGGGCTTATCTGAAGTAACAGCTCGGTATCTGAGTATCTGTGACTGACCTGTATCGCTGTAGGGGCGGTATCTAACGTCGTGACGGAGAAAACGTGTCGCCTTATACTGTACCTTTGAGATCTGTTCACGTGAGAGCGAGTGTGGCGCCCTCGCGTGGTCACCCGCGGTGGGTGTGTGACGGCGGTTTTATCCGCCCTGTGCGACTCCGCTGGACGGAGGTCCTGCACAGTGGAGACTCGCGCCGGCCAGAGCTTGACAGGCCCGATTAGCCATTACATTGTGATGCTATTTTAGAGCAAGAGATTCATATACATAAGATAGGGTGTATGTTTAAGCGGGGGATGCCGCAGTGGGTCGATCCACCCTCCACGTCCGTTTAAGGTGCGATATTTTACGACTGTTACAGATCTAAGTTGGGGCGGTATTTGTATACCGTGCCTTCCGGAGCTGGTAGGCGGTAGGGGCGCAGCTGGGGCCGTGGCGGCAGCTATGGCTGACAGTGTAACCTGTGCCCGAGTGTCCTGTGTATCTGTCAGACCGTCCGTCTCGGCCGGGACTCCCAATGGGCGACTCTGACTCCCAGGTCTGGTGGCCTGACGCTCGGCAGTGGTCAGCAGATGATACAGAGGGGTCCGCCACCGGTCCGCGGCGTGGGCTTTCCGAGCTGCCGTACACAGAGGGCGTCACTGAGCGGCCGCTTCCGACAGAGCCCGTATCCGAGCCGGGGTGCAATGTTTTCGGAGGACGCCGACTGACCTGTTTTGTACGGTGAATGACGAGAATGCAATATACGACGGATGGTACTAGAGTTTGCTACTATGTAACTTTTGCAGACTGACACATTTTCAAAGGCAATTGAATAACGTTTTAATGGGGTTCATCAGTTATGCTTCATATAACGCCTGAAGTCTCCTACCAGCAGTCTTGGCATCCTATCAGTGTTGTGCGGATGGCGCTTTCGTGGACAAAGTCCCAAAACATATTATCCGTGGCCTTTCAAACATTCCGTCATGCAAAAGCTATTCTAAAAGCACGATTTTATTTCACGCACTGGTCCCAAAAAGCTGAAGCGACCGATTTATGCTTGCCCAGGGCGATGTCTTAGCACGACGTTCTTTGTACCCTAACCGTATGGTGGGTGAATCGCAGTGCATGATCAATGGTTCTCACTCTCACGCTCACACATCTACAGCACACAGTGGCTCAGATGCTCAGTGCCTCCGCAGAACGCTGGATGAATGTGTACAAAATGACAACGCTCTCGCACTGCACAAAATAAAACAGCTTACTTCCTCTCCGGCACGTGCAGCAGACTTTGGCAATAGATTCTAGAAGCCGGCGGCGCGGGCGCTGAGCCCCCGGTGCGCCTCACAAGCAGCCCGCTCTGGGCGCGTCCCGCGGCGGTCGACGGTCGGCTGGACGGTCGTGTCGTCTCGAGACTCCCTCCCCGGTCCCCCGGTCCAGGCCGGCGGCGGCGGCGGCGGCGCTGGTTTGTACTGACTGGCTCCCGGGGCGGCGCCGCCACTACCGGCCGCCGTCCGCGTCCGTGTCCGCCGGCCGGCCGTGCACGCGGAACCGGTACAGACACGTATAGTCGCGGTGGCCCCAGTTGTCGTGCACGCGCAGCTCCACCACGGAGAAGGTGGCGCCGGCCGGCCGCGCCGGGAACGCCTGCAGCGGCGGCCCCGACTCTCTGTACAGGTAGCGGCCGAGCAGGACGCCCTCCTGGTCCGAGCCGTCCCGCAGACCCTGTGCGGCGGGTGGGGGAGTGTGCTCAGAGCCTACTCGGCAGTCAGACAGCACAGCAGCCAGCTGGCAGCAGGCGGTGGCTGCCCTCTGCACATCCTCGCCATGTCAGAAGCTATTCACATTATGAGCGGAGAACATCTTACTTTGCCTTATCTTGGGACTGGAAATTGAAATCAATACAACGAAAAAGCAAAATAAACACGAAAAATGTTCGAAATAAATTAGCTTATCAGCCAATAACTCGATAGGCAGTTTCCTGCTAAACCACTCCCCTAGCACTTAGCCCACTCCATATTAGAGTCGCAGGCCCGCCAGCTCCAGAGGGCAGGCTGTAGTCATGACTCACCAGGACGGTGAAGTTACGCGGCGCCGAGTCGATGGCCGCCGTGGGCGTCAGGTTGCGCGGGATGTGCTCCATGATGAACTCGGTGGGCTCAATGCGCCGCGACAGAGAGATAACAAAGTAGCCCTGGCCGCGGAAGGCGAAACACTCGCCGGGGCTGACGGACGGCTGCGGACAGAGCGGAGGGAGGTGTCAGGTCAGTGATAGCGCTTAGGGCAGCATGGTGGGAGGGTAGAAACGGCCAACAGCAGGCGCAAACCGCAGCTGAATACTAAGCCCAACAGGACAAATACTCTTTATAAGACACATAATTCTAATTGAAATAAGATGGAAAGGTGACATAATTCTGAATGAATTCTGGCGAGAGTTCTCTGTTCCTTCCCCAGTGATCCCCATCGGCGGGCTTTTAGGCCCCTTTGTGGCTTGCATAACCCGCACCAATTCACACAAAACCCGCACACATTCTCACCTAGCGGGATAACTCACCTGTATAATGGTGCGCGGGTTATTGGACGGATACCACAGAGGGATGCCCAGCACAGAGATGCGAGCTGATTTGACGTTGTACGACTCGGTGCACTTTGTGCTGATGACGCTGCCGCCGGCCGACTCCAGGGCGTAGTCGAACTTGCCCGTCTTGTCGGCGTCGTACTGGGCCAGCGCCTCGCGCGCGATCAGCACCACGTCCTCTTTGCTGACGCCGCCTGAGCCCGCGGCGGCGGCGGCGGCGGCGGCAGCGGCGGAGACAGACTCCGAGGCTAGATCTGCCGGGGAACGACGAGCGTCATTCACACGGCGAGTGAAGATGACGCTGTCCGGAGAACAGTGGAATAGAGTCGCGTAAAGTATGTGGAGGTACAGCCCTCTGCAAACTGCGTGGTAGGTATTCTTTCTTCGACAAAACCGAGAATAACGCGGATACTATGCTATCGGTCGCTCGGAAATCATAACAGCAAGATGTGCGAGACTCCGCACCTTAGATTGGCATTACCATCGCATTCATTTTCCATCCAGTTTGGCAACAAAACCCAAAAGTTTATATTTGCCCCCAAAACAAACTTTTGCATTTTGTTGCCACACAAGGCATATACTTTGTTTAGTGCTATACCCAATCGAAGCAGTAGAGCAAGGCGTCTCTATTTTCAGTGAGTTCCGACCGACTGACAACATAGTCTTTGAGTTATTACTGGTTTTGTCGAAAAAAAGAATACCGACCACGCAGTTTGCTGATGACTGTACGTAGTTATGGTGTCGGTGATACAGACAAGCAGACATAGAAACCAGCCTACATGATTAACGTACTATCACCTGGATAAGAGCGAGGAGTACTTACCTTCTTTGATGGTGGCGGCGAAGCCCTGCAGTCGCCCCTCCAGGTCGCTCTCCAGACTGCGCAGTCGCTGGCTGAGCAGTGTGCTCCAGTCGGGATCGGTCCGGTTGCAGCAGGAACGAACCTGTTTCAGGCTCTCCTGCAAAGGGCGGACACAGGTGGGACGTTATGGTGAAGAATATTGGGAGGCGCACAGAATACAAATCGGGAGCTAGTGACAAAGTACAGCTAATTTCCTAAACAGGACAGTGGACAAGAACGCCCCAACGCCGTTCCAGCCGCGGTGGCTCGGGGTACATCCCTTTCTCAGCTGCGGCGGGTCAGACTGCACTGCCACTCCGGCGGCGGGTCGGACTGCGGCTAAAGCTCGGGCCGCGCCGGGTCGTACTGCACTACAGCTCGGGCCACGCCGGTTCGGACTGCACTACAGCTCGGGCCACGCCGGGTCGGACTGCACTACAGCTCGGGCCACGCCGGGTCGGACTGCACTACAGCTCGGGCCGCGGCGGGCCGAGCCGCCACAGCTACGTACCTGGACGGCCAGCAGGGTGCGGTGCAGGTCGCTGAAGTCGTGCTGCAGCCGCGCCAGCTCGTCTGTCAGGCCGGCGGCGCGCTGCTCCGTCCGCTCCGAGCCGTCCTGCAGCTGCCGCAGCTGGCCGGCCGTCAGCTCGAGCTGCGCCAGCCGCGCCTCCAGCTCGGCTCGCTGCGCCGCCTGCCGCTCCGCGCCGCTCTGCTCCAGCTGCTGCCGCACGGCCGACAGCTGCGCCGACAGCTGCTCGGCCTGGCGCTGCTCGGCGGCCGCCAGCTGCTCGGCAGTCAGCAGGTGGCCGGAGCCGAGTCCGAGCGCGGCCCGCACCGCCGCCGGCTGGGTGGCCGCCTCAGAAGCCGCCCGACACGACTGCCGGGAGAAAGACTGGACGTTATACACCCATCGAGATTTCAGGGGGCACAGGCGGCACATACAAATATAGCACTAACCTCACAGCCACCTAGCCGCTAACACTGACTGACCTGGAAGTCCGTCTGCAGCGCGGCCAGCTTGGTCTGCAGCTCCTCTAGCCGGGCGTAGACCGCCGTTAGTGACTCAGTAGGGGGCGGCGGGACCGGAGCAGCGGCCGGGACCGAGGGCACCACTGGCACAGCGGGTACCACGGGCGCAGCAGATGGGGTGGCCTGCTCTGGCTCCGCGGCCGGTACCGCCAGCAGGGCGGAGCTCCCAAGCATAGCCAGGTAGCCGTACACGCTCTGCAAGAGGATAAACACGGTTAGAATGAGCTCCGAGTACACGCTCTGCAAGGGGGTAAACACGGATAGAATGAGCTCCGAGTCGAGCATACTCCTGCCTGACAGCGTATGGCCCAATATGCTAACAAGATTGTAGCGTCACCCGGACGTCCAGCAAGGGCCGAAGCAGGATTGTTTGTTACAAGAACAAGAAGCACCCCATTCCACAACCCGGGCAAATAACAATCAGCCTATTGAGCCCTCCTACGTGTTAACAATAATAAAACAGGCACCCTGTGCGTGTCGCATTTGAAATATAACATTGAAGAATGCATCAGTGAAATGAAATAAAGGACTAAGCACAGGACTAACACAAGAAACTGGCTGGTTGGGTCGGAGCTGCATAAATAAGAGCAGCACCGGAGTGCGACACGCCAACAGCAGTATCTGACAGACATCAAATTGGCGGGAATGTCGGAAAACATGTCGTTCCGTTACGACCATCAGCGAATGAGATTCCTTCCGGACCGCTGATCATAATAGTCTTGTTGATTACAACATCCCGTTGTTTGAGTTAGCTGAGCATCGCAAAAAGTGTGACCAATCTACTCAACTAGAACACGCAGCCCACTTCCGGCTGGCAAACACCATTAGAGTGTTTGCGACTAGCACCAATGATACTCATCAGCACCACAAACGGGCACCATCTTCCGCCAAACAGTTGTTAGCCACGACTGGACGGGTACGAATCCAGTGATGGTGGCCAGTCACCACGGACGACAGGCCCGCCGGTCCGGTATAAAGTTTGTGACTCTCTCCAGTTTGTGTAGGTGGGAGACGACGAGCCGCCCGCGGCGGAGCCATGGGTCTGTGCGGCACCGCCTGCTCGCTGCTCCTGCTGCTGGCGGCAGTACCGCTGGTCGCCGGGTTGGACGCGGAGGGCCCCCTGCTACCGGTGACGTTCGAGCTGCTCGCCGAGCCGGCCGCGCTGGGCGACTCGGAGCTGGTGGCGCCGCCGGCCGCGCTGGACCGCTGTCGGTGCCAGCAGGCCTGCGCGGCGCGGCCGGCCTGTCTGAGCGCCGGCCACTGTCCCGGCCCGCCGGCCGTCTGCCGACTGTACGGCCGGCGCGGCAACACGTCCACCTGGGAGTGGCCGC